CCACCAACAAACTCTAATACAATAAGATCCAGATATATGATATATTAAACATAATGTTACGGTTTAAGACGGGAAAAAATAAAGAAATAAGCTCGATTTAAATGAATGCTAACGGAAAAATCGAATAATGCGAACGAAGTGAAATTATGGACGAATGGTAGGAAATTGAAATAAGACACAAAACAGAAGGCAACACTGAGCTCATCCCATCAGTGACTGCAACTTGCTATCAATAGCATCCAGGAAATCTTGCGTATTCAGGTACTTCTCCGCTGTTGCACCCTTTTGCCCGTATATGCAAATTGCCAAGTCTTTTGTCATCTTCCCGTCCTCAATTGTTGCTACGCATGCTTTCTCCAGCGTCTGAGCAAATCTGTAATATTTTCATATCAAATTTGCTGGCTTCAGTGATTAATTCTATGTGTATACGCTGTTTCCACTTTCGCACCCGCCTTAACCATCAAGTGATGCAACAACCGTAAAAGCGTCTATGGAACTTGCAAAATTTGTCAGCTGCATGGATGGAGAATCACACTATGAACTGACAGCTGTCCCGTTTGTTCCAACTCTGAGATAACATAACTTACGATGGCGCACTAGCAGAAGTAAAATCTCGAAAATCCTTCACCGCAGTGATGCTTAGATGAAAAAAAAAGATGGAAAGTATGCTAAACCAGAGTGTTAGTGGAAGAAAATTAGGACCTGCATCGTCTGCTAAGACCGAACAATAAAAAGACACAAAGATTGAAAAATGTTATCGCTTAATTCATAAAAAAAATAACTTACTTGCGAAGAGCATCGTTGCCATCGAGTTTGCCACGATGATCCAGTCCCCTCGACCAGGCAAAAATTGATGCCACGGGGTTTGTTGATGTCGGATTGCCCTGTAAATAGTTCCTCCGAAGTGCAGTTTAGCATGATATGCCTCCTGACGAAAGACAAACAAAAGAAAATATAGGAGAAGAGGTTGCTTTTTGAATGGAATATTTTCACTGTACAAAATGCGAAGAATAAATAATCACTTTTTGATGTTCTCGGTAATGTCGGGTGACAGTACCGTGCGCGGCTTCCGCCTCGATTGTCTTTCCATCAGGACACATCAGCACTGAGGTC